TAACAAGTTCCTATCAGCTGTGTACCTGTGGCCAAGACTTGCACTGTCCCTGAGAAAAGGCAGTCTCTTGTTCACATACACAGCGTAAAAGCCAAGCATAAATTAAATTTCACTTACTGTAATATGTTCGCTGCAAAACTGGAAATCAATTAATAGACCCTGTTGCACACTCACTCGTGAAAGAAAGGGGACAACTTAACTGCTTAAAAGAAAACAAGACACTGAGAATGGGCACAGAGAAACACCAGGCGACACTGACTTCGAGGCCCTCTCCACTCTCCTGCCCTCCCTCAACCAGGAAGCCTCTTTCCTGCTTCAAAACTTTCTCTTTTATTGAAAATAGATTTTTCCCATACAATGTACTCTGATTACACTTTCTCCTCCTAGTTGCTTCCCACCGCTCCTCCCATCTGAATCCACAGTCTTTCTGTCTCTCATCAGGAAACAACAGTCAAATACAATAAGACAAATCAGAAACAAATGAAAATAATATAAAACAACCAAACAAGAAAAAGAACCAAAGGAAAAGCCCAAGAAACATATATAGATGCAGAGACGCACATGTTTGCACACACAGGAACCTCATTAAGAAACACAAAATTGGAAGCCATAATATGTATACTAAGGACCCAAAGCAGAGCATTTTTATCCACAAATCTGCTTTGATATGGGGAGCTGGCATCTCTTTCTAGCAAGCCAAACCATTGTGTTGTCCTCTTCGGCTTGCCCTTTAAATTCAGCGCTAGTCAAATATAGCAAATACTTTCTGGGAACCAATTATGCATAATAGAAGCAATGTGGATTTTTAAGCTGCTAATGGTGTAATAAATGCCTTAGGGGGTCTCAGAATTTTAAGTTAACAATGAGTAGGAATAAAAATTTCTGCTTTCTGCATAATATCCAATTCTGCCTTTAAAAAATTGGCATTTGAGGGATGCAGAGGACATGAGGGAGCAGAAAGGTTGAGTCAGGTGAAGAACAGAAAACAAGAATGGAGATACCATAATAGAGGGAAACATTCTAGGTTTACAGAGAAATCAGGCACTAAGGAAATGTTTGGAGATCTACAAAGATGACACCAACTAACAATCTAAGCAACAGAGGAAAGGCTACATTAAATGCCCTCCCCTGATAATGCGATTGATGACTGACTTATATGCTACTCGATAGCCCTATCCAGCAGCTGGTGGAAGTAGAAGCAGACACCCACAACTAACCACTGAACTGGAAACCAGATGCAGAGAAGGACGAGTGAAGAGCAAAGGGATACAGACCAGGGTGGTGAAACCCACAGAAACAGCTGACCTGAATATCGGGGAACTCTTGCTCCCCAGACTGATAGCTGGGATACCAGCATGGGACTGATCCAGACCCCAGGAACATGGGTTTCAGTGAGGAAACCTGGCAAATCTACGGGACCTGCTATAGTAGTTCAGTACTTATCCCTAGCATAGGTATGGATTTTGGGAGCCCATTCCACATAGAGGAATACTCCCTGAGCCAAGACACACAGGGGTGGGCCTAGGCCCTATCCCAAAGGATATGATAGACTCTGATGACAATTGAAGGCCTCACCATCCAGGGGGAGCAGAAAGGATATGTGATAGG